ATTACTCCTTGTTCTGTCATCTGCTACCACTGAGAATAGTCTAGATCCATCCTCTTTGGAACCCCCTTTCAGGTAGTTGAAAGCAGCTATCAAATCCCCCCTCATTCTTCTCTTCTGCAGACTAAACACTCTGTACTGTCCTTTCTCCTACTTTGAACAGCATTTCATGCAACTCTTCTCTCCTCCATGTAGTCACTTGATTCCTCCTCAGCCACCTTCCTTGCTGATTTTGACTCTTAGCTCTCCTTATTTTCAATTCCTGTATATAGATGTCCCATCTGATCCTTTAGCTTCCTACTTGCTTCTCCTCACCTCATTTGACTTGCAATGCTCAATTAAGTCTCCCACACACCCAAATGGCCACTCACTTGGCCTTATCTTTACCAAGCACTGGTCCCTCTCTGATCTTTCCAACAACCAATTCACTTCCTCCAACTCGCCTCCTTCACATCACTCTGCCTTCCAATCCATCAACATGCCCAACACCTCAGGCTCCTTATCTACATGCCTTCTTCACTGTCTTCCTTTGATTTATTTATGTCCTCCATACCATGATTTTCTCCATCATCAATTCATTTCCTCATCTCTTTCGCCACAAGATACTTTCCACCAATCCCCAGCTCTGGTTTATTTAACATTCACTTCTTCCATTCTTGCTGTCATATAGCTGAATGTCTCTGGTGAAAATACTGCAGTTTTACAGAATTACTCCACCACACATTTGTTGTCTCCTCTTTCACTTCTGCCATTTTCCAGGTAAAGCAGCACAACTTTCCACCCTCATTGATTTCACACCTATTCCTGGCCTCTTGCCACCTGTACCTCATTTCTAATTCCCCCCCCCCAACACCTTGCAAGATAATTCCATATTTTTCAAAGATGAATAAAATCTGATTATCTTCATGCTCCTTCTTAAACCCAGTCACCACCACTTAAGTGTGTCACTGCTCTCCACCTCTAATTCTTCCACTTGCTCCAGTGACTGTCCTTTGCCACCACTCTCACTTTCTCCCATATCTTTCTCAACTTTCCACACTTCTCAGGTTCCTTCCCCTTACAAGTATGCTCTGGTCAATTCCATCATAAAAAAATACCAACCAACACCATGTTTCAACTTCTATCTCTAGCACCCTGTTTCCCTTCTCCCCTTGCCTCAAATTCATTGATCTTGCTGTCTACACTCATTGTTGAAAGTTCCTCTCCTCCAACTCCAGTCTGGCTTCTGCCCTCTCCATTTCACTAATTCAGCTCTCATCCGAAGAAGTGGGCTGTAGTCCACGAAAGCTTATGCTCTAATAAATTTGTTAGTCTCTAAGGTGCCACAAGTACTCCTGTTCTTCTTTCAGCTCTCAGAATCTCTATTGACCTCTAACCAACCAAAGTTCAGAACCTCTACTCCAGCTCAATTTTCCTTGACTTCTGCTCTGCCTTTGACAGCAGTTATCACACCTACATTCTCTATGTCATCCATAACTGTCTTCTCCTGATTCATTCAGTGGATCATCATCCTGTTCTCCCACTCTCCTTGGCCCCCTCCTCTTCTCTCTTTATATCCCCTCTCTCTGGGCAATCCTAATCTGCTCCCATGATTTAAGAACTCTCTCTTACACCAGTCTAACTCTCCAATCTAATACCACATCTCAGTCTGTTTCTCCAATAATTCCTCTTGGATCTCTTGCCATCAGCTAAATATAACATGCCCCCCAAGCAGTCTTTCCTTCCAAACCCAGTGCTTTCCCCTCTCTCCATCACAGATAACAGCACCACTACATTTTCAGTTGACCAGGACTGTAACCATGGTAACATTTCACTCCACACACATCCTAGACCTGTACATCCTGGCTATTTCAAAAAGTTGCCATTTCCTCCCCCCATAACAATTCCAGGATCTAGCTTTTCTTCTTTCCACAGGCCTTCCTGCCATCTAACCCCTCATCAGCACCACTCTAAAGTCAGGCACTAAGGTCATCCTACCGGGCCCATGGTTACGAGCCGGCCCCCATCTCCACTTATTCCTTTATTGCTTCAAACTGAAGCTCTTCCTAACCAAGCCCCGCCCTACCCGGTCACCCTTATGGGGGCCTGTCACGTTGCCTCCTGTTCCCGGGCTCCAGACACGAGGCAGCCACCCCCCGCCCCGCTTTTCTGCCTCTCGCACAAGCACTGGCTTCCACGCTGCCCTCTCCCCCGGGGCTGGCCTTTCCCACGGAGCTCCCCGCCACGCGGCTCATAGAGCTGCTCAGCCGGCGCAGGGAGGGGGATGGGCTGTTCCCAGACCAGCGCCCCTCAGAGCGCAGTAGCAGGCCAGGACGGGGGCTGCTGGGCAGGGTAGGGGACTGGTACGCGCTTCCGCCCCGACACGTGACCCATAGTGATCATGAGCTGAACGATTCTTACTCCCCGCAGCGCGTGCGAACTAAGGGGGCCAAGTAGGGAGGTGTATGCGCACGCGCAGTTGTGATTTCAGCCCCCCCACTAGGTTGTGAGAAGCGGAAGTAGTTACCATGTTCCGGAAGCGCTTGAGTGTCATGGCGGCGTTGGTGAGAGCTGTGGTAGGTGAAGGGATGGGTCAGAGTTGGAGCCCGAGCCACGGCCCCAGCGTGTGTCCGGCCGGGTTCGGAGCCTCCCTGCAGCGCGGACGGTCTGGCTCAGGAGCCGCCGACAAATGCACCGGGGGGCCTGCGGTCTCCGCGGGTGACAGGGCCCTGGGAGTGGTGGCCCCCGGCTCTGTTCCCCGGGGGGCGGGTTTGGCGGGGCATGTCTGGTAACTTCCCAGCGGTGTTGTAGTCGATCCGGGGCCTTGGCCCCGCGCTGTGTCCCGTTGTCGGTGGTGATGTGTGTGGTGCGTGCGGCTCGGTGAGGGGAGCTGGGCTGGGAGCACAGGGTTGCAGTATCTGGGGTACCCCAGCCCGGCACTTCCGTGCTCTCCAGTAGCACAATGATTCGTCTTTCGAAAAGATTCCGAATTAGAAATTTAGTTTGGATTCCTTTGTTCCATATGGTGGTTTTTCAACAGCCATTCAAACACCTCTTTTCCCCACCTCTCCCGAATACTGATCAGTTTACACTTTACATGTTTCCTTCTTGATCTTTATTCGTGAACAGGAGCATCAAACAGGTTTCACATCAGAGGCTTTGAATCCTTCTTTCCTTCTTTACCCGTTCTTTGTAGAAGCTTCTGATTTTTATTTCAGGATCTTTTCACTTGTTGGAAGCTGTACGTCAGGACACTTACTTCAAGAATTACTGTTTGCAGTCCTCTGTGATCTGCTGAGCTAACTTCCTGAATGTTAAACTTTTTATTCATTCAGTATTTGCTAGTCATTGTTGCAGTTTGCCCAGTTAGCGAGCATTGGAGATAAAAAATTGATCTTCTAACACTTTAGTATATAGAGACGGCACATCTCTTTCATCTTAACTCGCATGTCCTTTCGGTAACAGTGAAAGTGCATGCATGAGTCTCTGCTCTTCTTATTAATCATATTTATTGTGGGTAGCACCTAGGGACCAACTAAGAATTGTACATTACCTAGCACAATGGTGCACAAGCACAAAAGTAGTAGAAGTCAGAAAATACTGGAGGTGAAATGTTGGCTGCATGTCTGGTATGAAGTTTAAAGGCTTTGGTTATGTTGGAGCTTTGGGATACGTTCCAGTGGGAGAGGTAGTTGTATGAGCAGGATAGCCTGCATCTCACTGGGATGAGGGGAGTGCTAATGTTCTCAGTTGGAGACTAGCTGGATCAGCCAGGAGGCTGTTAAACTACCAATGCAAGGGGAGGGTGGTAAGGAGGCAAGTATTGTATAAACTGGAATTTGGAATGTAAGAAACAAATTGTATCAACGTGAAAGAAGATTTTTTTTCAATGGCTTAAATACCTTTGCTGGGAGTCTGAGTAACAAACATTGGAAATTTCTCATTGATTAGAAGAAATTTGATAGGCATTACTGAAATTTGCATGGTTGGAAAGTTGTCACTTGTTATATCCTGCCCAGGAAGGTCAGAGCAGGTGAAAGAAGTAGGGTTGGAACTCTACATTAAAGACATGATTATCTGTTTTACAGTTATAGGTAACTTACAACCACAGGAACTTTGATCCATTTCATGTGCTAACTAACAAAGTGCAGGAAGGAGTGCTGGTGAGGAGTCTGTTGCAGACCACCAAATCAAAAAGGGACATGATGGAAAGAAAAATTGTGTTATGAGGGACTTCAGTTTGGGAGACAAATACTGGAGGTCTCATGCAGCCAGTAGTAAATCAAGATTAGGGTTTCTAAAAACTTACAGATGGTAATTTTTTAATGCAACAGGTATTGCACCCCAACACAAAATAACTATTTTATTCTCATGATAAGCAAAGATGAATATAGATTCTAAAGCCAGAAGGGAACATTGTGATCATCTAGTCTTACCTTCTGTATAACACACACAACTTCCCTAAAATAATTCCTGGAGCAGATCTTTTAGAAAAACATCCAATCTTGATTTAAAGATTGTCATTGATGGCGAATCCATTTCAACCCTTGGTAAATTGTTCCAATGGTTAATTACTGTCCTTATTAAAAATTTACACCTTATTTCCAATCTGAATTTGTCTAGCTTAAATTTATATCCATTGGATCCTGTCTGACCTTTCTCTGCTAGATTAAAGTGCCCATTATTAAATATTTGTTCCCTATGTAGATACTTATAGATTGTAATCAAGTTACCTCTTAACCTTTTAAAATATGTTAGGATCAAAAGAAACTCAAAAGCACTGGTATAGGCCCATTACTAGCTGGAGATGGTAAAATTGTTAATGATGTAGAAAAGGCAGGAGTGATCAACAGATATTTCTGTCCTGTATTTGGTAAGAAGCAGGATGATGTACTCTGATCATGAGAGGACGATTAACTACTTTCCAATCCATTAGTAACTAAGGAGGATGTTAGACAACATAGAATAATAGGACTGGAAGGGACCTCGAGAGGTCATCTAGTCCAGTCCCCTGTACTCATGACAGGACTAAGTATTATCTAGACAATCTCTGACAGGTGTTTGTCTAACCTGCTCTTAAAAATCTCCAATGATGGAGATTCCACAACCTCCCTAGGCAATTTATTCCAGTGCTTAACCACCCTGACAGTTAGGAAGTTTTTCTTAATGTCCAACTTAAACCCCTCTTGCTGCAACTTCAGCCCAGTGCTTATTGTCCTATCCTCAGAAGTTAAGAAGAGCAATTCTTCTCCCTCCTCCTTGTAATAACCTTTTATGTACTTGAAAACTGTTATGATGTTCCCTCTCTTTTCCAGACTGAAAAAATTGGGTTTGTTTAATCTTCCTCATAGGTCATGTTTTCTAGACCTTTAATCATTTTTGTTGCTCTTCTCTGGACTTTCTCCAATTTGTCCACATCTTTCCTGAAATGTGGCGTAGAGAACTGGACACAATATTTCAGTTGAGGCCTAATCAGCGTGGAGTAGAGCAGAAGAATTACTTCTTGTGTCTTGCTTACAACACTCCTGCTAATACATCCCAGAATGATGTTCGCTTTTTTTTGCAACAGTGTTACACTGTTGACTCTCATTTAGCTTGTGGTCCACTATGACCCCCAGATCCCTTTCTGCAGTACTCCTTCCTAGGCAGTCATTTCCCACTTTGTATGTGTGCAACCGATTGTTCCTTCCTGAGTGGAGTACTTTACATTTGTCCTTATTGAATTTTATCCTGTTTACTTCAGACCATTTCTCCAGTTTCTCCAGACCATTTTGAATTTTAATCCTATCCTTCAAAGCACTTGCAACCCCTCCCAGCTTGGTATCATGGGTAAACTTTATAAGTGTACTCTCTATGCCATTATCTAAATCATTGATGAAGATATTGAACAGAACCAGACCCAGAACTAATCCCTGCGGGACCCCACTTGTTATGCCCTTCCAGCATGATGAAATCACTGATAATTACTCTCTGGGAACGGTTTTCCAACCAGTTTTGCACCCACCCTAGTTTGTTTATGAGAAGATCATGTGAGACAGTTTCAAAAGCTTTACTCAAGTCAGGATATACTACATCTACTGCTTCCCCCGCCATCCACAAGGGTAACAAGTTATCAGGTTGGTTTGACACGATTTGTTCTTGACAAATCCATGCTGATTGTTACTTGTACATATACTAGTAGTACATGTACTAATGATAAACATTTTAAAATCAGTAGCCCCAAGAATTCTAACAGAGTTGGCTGAGGACATCTCTGGCTAAGTGATGGTGATTTTTAAGAAATCTTGGAATGCTCAGGAAATTCTAGAAGTCTGTAAATGTGCTTATTTCATGCCAATATTCAAAAAGGGCAAGCGGGATGATCCAGATAACTATAGGCGAGTTAGCAAAATAATGGAAAACCTCATGCAGGATACAATCAATAGAGTAAAGTATGGGAATATAATTAGTGCCAGTCAACGTGGTTTTGTGGCAAATAGGTCGTTTAACAAGATCTCATTCTTTGAGATTACGAGTTTGACAATACAGGTAACTGGGTAGTTGTAATATACTTATACTTTTGTAAGGTGTTAGACTTATAAAGCACAACATTTTGATTAAAAAAAATAACTATACAGTATAATTAGCGCACGCATTAAATGGATTAAGAACTGACTGATAGATCTCAAGAAATAGGTGTCAATGGGGAATCATCATCAAATAGGCATGCTTTTAGTGGGTTCTGCAGGGATCAGTATGAGGTCCAGTACTATTCAGCACTTTCATCAGTGATCTGGAAGTAAATATAAAATCACTTCTGATAGAATTTGTGGATATGAGAGATTGGTGGAGTGGTAAATAATGATGAGTACATGGAAATTTCACAGAGTTACCTGGGTCATTTGATAAGCTGTGCCTACTTAAACAAAATATTTTAATGCAGCCAAATACAAAGTTATACATCTAGGAAGGAGGGTTGTAGGCCATACATATAGAATAGGGGACTGTATCAATCTGTTTTGCTTCTCAAAAAGAAGGTGAAGAGGTGACCTGATTAGTGTATAAGTACCTTCATGGAGAGAAAATATTCTGTCCCAAAGGGCTCTTTAATCTGTCAGATAAAAGCATAAGAAAAAAACAATGACTTTGCTTTGCAGGTTAATAGTAAGTGCACCCAGACCCTGAGTCCCTTTGAAGCATTCCCTTGTAGTGTCTAATTCCTTATCCACTGAACACTCACAGAAATACCAGGTCTGCTGTCCCCAAAGGAATAATACACAGACCAACTTGTAAAATTTAGCTCAGGACCAGCACGTTACTTAACATCGCAGCAGCACTGATAAACTTATTATTGTTTTAACTTTAAATATATATATCAGACTAGAGATTCAGGAGATAGTGAGTAAGGATGTTGGAAACATGGTTATGTATAAAACAAACAAGTTAACCTCTTGTCTAAAGAAGTTTCTCACCCAAAATCATTTTTAGCGTTATCAATCAAGGTTGGCTGACATCCCATTTTCATGAATGTAAATGCATTGCCCATTTACTTCCTTGGTGCTTTGCCTCCTATGTATACCCCCACAGTTCATTGTCTGTACTCAGAGACAGGATAACAACCCATGGCTTGTTTTTCCTGTTTGCTGCTTCCCTGTTGACTTTACATTTCTTTGTTAACATTTGACTTTGTATGTAAATAGACATCCAATGTGTTAGTTTACAATGTTTAATTTACATCCCCAGAGAGAGAGACAAGAGGAAAACTTGTTTTTCACCTCTGCTAGTGACCAACACCTTGATATAGACTTTACAAACATTTTCAGTGTATATACAAAACTCCTTCCATAGTATCTGCACATACATTAAACAATATTAATGACCAATCTGACACCAGCTTTCATTTTGAGAACTCACATGACATTTGTTGGTGAATCGGAATGTACATACCAGAATCAGTATATTTCTGTAACCATCTTACCAATTGGCATTACGGGGTTCTTAAGTCACAGTGTGACTTCAAAACAGCATGGGATATTCCTGTGTGAATTTGTTATGGATGACCATCAAGTTGATAGGAATAGCTGCCTTTGCATTGTTTTGATTTTCTGGGATGCCCACAATTAATAGTTATAATGTAGCTGGAAATTCCAGCAGTCTTCTCTTTTTGCTGGTTTCCAGTAGAATATATGAATCCTAGGATGTTCCCCTTCACTGCTGGTTACTGTGTGCATGCTGATCTCTCTATTCTAGAAGTGCCAGACTGGAATGCCTCAATGGATTACAGTATGCAGTGGATTAATACAATCAACCTTGCCGCAAGCACAGTGGGACAGAATGCTCTATGGCACTCTTCAGGTAGGATATTTCATTATTCTAAAGCATGTAAGAATTGGGGATTTGTGTAGGTCCTCACATAGGAAATAAAAGGTCAGTCTTCTAGCACATGAGAGTGGCGGGGGATAGTTCTTGCCAGTGCTGCTACCTGAGCATCTAGAAAAAGGGATCTTGTAAAACTGAAATGAAAGGCCTGGCTGGGATGATTTAGTTGGGGTTAGTCCTGCTTTGAGCAGGGGGTTGGACTAGATGACCTATTGAGGTCTCTTCTAACCCTAATCTTCTATGATTCTATAATTAAGGGAGCTGAAATCTCAGACAGTTCTTCTGACTGTTTTTCCCCCAGCCCACAGTCATTATTTCTGTTCAAGCCCATGTCTGTTAGACACTGGATAAAAGGCTGAACCACTTCAGCTCGATTAGGTGGTGGAGATATAAATCTGTCACGCAGGCCATGAAAACACCACAACCCATGTTTGTTTACTAATTGTGTTTCACATAAGAGCTAAATATGTGGAGCTTGGCTAAGCAGTAACTGGTTTAGGAGTGAGACTGACCTGATTGTGTAACCTGGTGTATCATTTTTATAAGACTCCGATAACTATAGTATCAGATCACCAACCCATATAAAATGTCTTTGGCATTGGAAGGGTGTTAATGCCAAGGAGAGAGGAATTATTTACTGTTGTACAAGGAGGTATAACTAGGATTAATGGAACAAAAATCTGAGAGAAAATCTAGATTAAATTTCAGGACAAATTGTGTGACGTTAAGATGCATGAGACTGCCAGCCCTTCCATAGGCTATGTAAAATATTACCAAATGTACAGTAGGGAACAATCCTTCACTGGACCCAGAGAGATGGGCTTGATGACCTAATAGGTCTTTTTCATCTGTAAATTCTATGACTGTAAATTAGTGAATGTTTGAATGTAACACAATTTTAGTGCTTATTCCTCAACACTGTTCTCACTTCTCTTTTGTCACTTTAAGCAGAGGCATGAGACTGGCCGACCCCAGCTGAATAAAGTATGTGGTGGATTGATACAAACCAATGGTGCAATAACACAGCAAAGGAGAATGCTTCACAGCACTGATCAGGTTAGAATAGTTTGATATTATTGTTTATTATAAGAGGCTTCGTTGTAGCAATCACTCTACAGAGACCTTTAACTTGTGACTGGATAACTTTGACAGCATTACTGGCCTAGTGGATGAGGAGAAGCAGTAGATGTGCTACATCTTGATTTTAGTAAGGCATTTAACACAGTCCCACATGACATTCTCATAAGCAAACTAGGGAAATGTGCTGTACAGGCCTGTCGCATCTTATGCGCATTTAACATGCGCAATTTCAGCTTTACGTGGTCGGCAAAAACAAAAAAAAGAGAAAAATAACAATTTTAATACTGTACCTGTAATGCGGGTGATTCCGCCCGCCATTACACTCAATGTAATTTTGACTGTACGTGATTTTCACTTTACTCGCTGACTGCGGAACGTAAGATGCGACAGACCTGTAGATGAAATTACTATAAGGTGGGTGCAAAGACCGATAACTACTCTGAGTATGAGGTATGACGTGGCAGGTAATTGTCCTGCTCTACTCGGCACTGGTGAGGCCTCCGCTGGAGTACTGTGTCCAGTTCTGGGTGCCACACTTTAGGAAAGAGGTAAACAAATTAAAGAGAGTCGAGAAGAGAGCAACAAAAATGATAAAAGGTTTAGAAAACCTGTCCTATGAGGAAAGATTTTAAAATTGGGCATGTTTAGTCTTGAGAAAAGAAGACTGAGGAGGGACCTGATAATATGTTCAAATATGTTAAGGGCTGTTATAAAGAGGACAGTGATCAATTGTTCTCCATGTCCACTGAAGGTAGGACTAGAAATAATGGGCTTAATTGGCAGCAAGGGAAATTTTAGGTTAGCTATTAGGAAAAACTTTCTAACTATAAGGATAGTTAAGCTCTGGAGTAGGCTTTCAAAGGAGATTGTGGAATCTCCATCATTGGAGATTTTTAAGAACAGTTTGGACAAACACCTGTCAGGGATGGTCTAGGTTTACTTGGTCCTGCCTCAGAGCAGGGGGCTGGACTGGATGTTATAGAGTAGACATTATCACAGACCAAGGCCAGTGATTTGAGAGCTGCAAGGTATCCCTCCAAGAGGCAGAGCACTAAGTGTCATGTTCCTTTCTCTCTCCCCAACTGGGTGATGGGGAGCTGCTGGGAAAGGTCCAACAAAAGGCCCTGTGAGAGATAGGGCTGAGATGGGAAGAGAAGTACTAATTGGGGGCAGATTCTTCCTTGTCTTCTTCAGGAGAAAAGAGACAGAAGTGTTGCCCCCACTTTTAAAGGGGATAGGATGCTTCCCCTCTCTTTCTGGTGTGTGTGTGTGCGGGGGGGGAGGGGGGGAGAGAATGTGAGGTATAGCAAATTTTGCTATTCACTAAATGTTTAATACTGTCATACTAAATATTAATAGTAACTAATGATGGTGTGCTGTGAACGCAGCATATCCTGCTGACCAGTATTGTTTTGCTTCCTTTTCTCCCCGCATCTTTACATCTACTGTGGCCTCTTGTCTTATACTTGGATTGTAACCTCATTGGGGCAGAATCCATCTCTGTTATGTTTTTGTTCAGTGCCTAGCACAATGGGTCCTTGTCTTTGATAGCCTCTAGGTATTACCATAATGCAAATAATAACTCTGATGGTCCTTGCTCCACAGAGCTTGCAGGCTAAGAAAACGACAGCATACAACAGGTGCACAAGATATAAGAAGGGGAGCGGGTTGGGAGAACGAAGGAACAATAAAATTCACATACAATGCCTGACAACAATCCCAGTTTGCTACTGGCATAGGCTTAGTCAGATGGCAATGGTTTGTAGGCATTATGGCAGAGCTAAATTCTAAAGAGATTTGAAAGAGAACAAAGTAGTGGCTTTACAGATTTTTACAGTGTCTTTCCCCAGTGTAAGGGAAAGGCAATATGAAAGAAAACATGGAGGCATATGTGGGAGAAATGGAGTAGCAGTCAAGACAGGCATCATGTCCTGAACAAATTTTCCTGGTAGTGAAGTTCGGCTTACTGGCCTGTAATTGCCGCTGGAGCCTTTTAAAAATATTGGCATCATCTTAGCTGCCCTCCAGTCATCTGATACAGAAGCTGATTTAAATGATAGGTTACATACCACAGTTAGTAGTTCTTGCCACTGCTGATCATTCCAGGTCTTTCTCGCCAATCCATGCTGGTTTCCTGAACCCAGAGATGACGCTGCATGCTGTAAACCTGCTCTAGGAACTGGTCTTTTACTATCGGTTGCTCTTTTTCTTTGTCTGCTTCCTGGTTCCACTGCTGTAGAAGACCTCCTGCTGCTGGAGGAGCTGCTGTTGCTGCCACATCATCTGCTCAGTGGTGTGGCTGGCGAATGCATCTGACTTTGAGTGCTGAAATATAGCCCCGGTTGTCAGCATAGCAGCACAGGGCATTAAGAAGTATGAGAATAAACAGGAAGAACTAGTGAATAATCATGGCTGTGACAGAGTTGGCATCATAGAGACTTGGTGGGATAATACACGTGACTGGAATATTGGTATAGAAGGGTACAGCATATGCAAGCAGACTTCTGAACTATACCTATTAGAAATGGTGATATAAAACAAAAATTTAAAAAGGTGCACATTTTTATCAGAAAAATTAATCACTGGAATATCTTATCAAGGTATATGATGGATTGTCCATCAATTGGTGTATTTAAATGAAGATTGGATGTCCTTCTAAAAATACACTGTAGCTCCACCACAATTTATAAGCTTGATACAGAAATTATTGGGTAAAATTCTATTATCTGTGCAATAGAGGAGGTCAGACTATAAGATCATTAAAGATCCCTTCTTCCTTAACATATATGAATATGTATACATAAGGTAACCAAATTCACATTGCAAGAATGTTAATTCTGTCATTTTTTAACTTTTGAGTAATTGTCTTTCAGTTCTTCTAATGTGATTTAGTGTATCTGTCTGGGCAATCTTTAACGTTTTACAGTTCGACTTTAATTTATTGGTTAGGCCCCCAATAAAGTAGGCTGGAGGTGTGTATACAGATTCTTATCACTCTAAATAAAGTGAATCAGTGAGTAATCGGTGTATAGGTGTAGTGTGTTCTCAGGAGTGCTGGTATGTCCGTTTTGTGCACTGCATTAGTTATAAAGACAACTTACAACGGAAGTTAAAATTTCCAATTTATTTTTTATTTGTCTAAAATGATTAGATTGAATTGCTGGGATAAGGACATGTGGTTCTGTGTCGTATTTGATTTTTACCTTGTTTTACCTTACAGTTTCTTGCTGCAAAAGATTCCCTGCAGCCATCTGAAGAGAAAGTGGGTGCCTTCACAAAGATAATAGAAGCAATGGGATTCACAGGACCACTGAAATATAACAAATGGGTAATGCAATTATTTTGGTAGTCTTAATATTTTCCTGTAGTTGGTTACTTTACATCTGTTTTGAGAACTAGGTTCTTTGTGACATGGGAGGGATATTTATGTGCACAGTCACATTCATATTACCCATATAAAATCCTCTCACACAATATGGAGAATAATAGCCCAAGGCTTTAACCTGCCTTGATTTATGCACAAGGCCTCCATTGACACAAGTAGGAGTTTTATTATTTTGGTCACTTGGATTCCCAAAAACTTATTTCCTCACTTTATTCATCCATCAAAGTTCCCACATCACAGTTACCCTCCAGTAATGGAAGCTGGCAGCAATTCCCTTTGGGAGCTTGTGAACACTCCCAAGTTGTCTAGAGGGTTTTGTTGAAGAGTGTTGCATGTTGCTTCCTCCCTTGGTCCCAACAAAGGCTGACCACACTGCCTCTGCTTTGTTACCACTTTCTTTTGGTTCAGGGACTTGAGCTTACAGAGAGGATGGGTTTTATGGTTATGAGTCTAAATTGGGACTCTAGAGACCTGGGTTCATTTCCTGGGTTTGCCACAGGCTCCTTGTATGACCTTGGGTAAGTCACTTAATCTCTTTCTGTTCCCCACCTGTAAAATTTCATCCACCCTTTGCCTTCCTTATTTAGACTGTACACTCAGACTCTTGTTGGGGTCTCTAGGTGCTAGGAGGATAGCAATACAATGAAAATAAGAATTTGAGTGCTGAGCATCACATGACAATTCTTGAGCTAATCTTACATTGATTTGAAATCTGTGTTTAGTTTGTGTGTAACTCAACTTCCCTTGTATAGAGTGACTGACTTGTGTCCACCTTTAAAGATCTAAATGTGGGTATCTGACCTTCTTGAGTGGTTATTGGTGTCTGTGTGTGTTTGGGGTAATGCATTTTATTTAGAGAGGCTTGTTTCTTTTCGGTTATTCTTCAAGAGTATATATGTTTTGCTCAGTTCTCTCCAGATAACACACTGAATTAATAAAGAATGAGAATGTTCCAATAACTGGCAGTTAACATTACATATGGCAAATGCTGGAGATCGCTGCTATAGATTTCCAGTGTCATCCTGGATCAAATCACTTAATATTTGTGCCTCAGTTTTTTCAATCCCTAAAATAGTGATTATGCTACTCTGTCTCACAGGGATGTTGGGAGGATAATTTCATTAATGTCTGTAATATGTTCAGGTACTATGGTGAAAAGAATAATTGAAAAGACTACAAATAAAACAAAGGAAAATGGATTATATATTTAATGGAGGATTATAAAGACAGGATGAAAATTAATAATGGGACGGGGCCCATATTAACAATATGGGTTTCAGTCATTGTGCAGTGGTTACAATACATCAGAACAAAATTTCCATAAATCTTAACTGAAATAATTTTGCATTGATAATCTCTCATTGTATTGGTGTTGTCACAAAGTCTGAACTCAAGTGGTTTGCATTTTCTATTGTAAATTGTAATTGTTATGGCACATAAGTTTAGGCATAATTCTGATTAAGAGAGCTTTGGATGTCAAAATCTTCCATTTTTCTGGCAGAACTTCAGGACTACTGAATGAGGACATGCCTTAAAGCTGTTCTCCTCCTTTGGAAATTATTTCCCTAGTGTCCTTGTAGTCAGATCAGACTTAAATTTACCTTTTGGTATTTTGAAGTGCTGTCTTAAAATGCAGAGTGCACATTCTGATTAGGTGGTCTACTAGTACAGTGGGTTCATGGTTCACCTATGGGGTGGGTTCGCCTAAAATGGTGGGTTCATTGTTCCCTAGCAGTCCCAAAGGCAGGTGGATGAAGAGTGCTGTGAATTCTCTACTTCTCCCAGTCCCTTCCCAAAGGTGAGTGGAAGGGAGCAGTTAAGAGTTTTCCTCTTCTGTCTCTGATTTGTATATAGACAGTCCTCGGACTTATGATACAATTGGTTCCTTACAATTGTGTCGTAAGTCGGAACTCGGAACCACAGTCTACTCCATTGCGGGACCAAGTGTCGTAAACTCGAAACCTATAGTCATAAGGCGAATCAGGGTGTCAATGTAGAAGCGTCGTAAGTGCCGTCCCTCGTAACTTAAACGTGAAGTCAGACTGCCTGTATCCTATTTTTAGAAAATGTAATGAACAGGCTAATGTTGCACTAGAAGGCAATAAACAAGACTACCAAGTCTTGGGGCATGTTAAATCTATATCACCAAGGTCTTTGTCTGACATTCTCTTTTAGCACCTTAAACATGCTTGTTTTATGAGTATATTTGAAGCTAAAAAGAGAAATTTTGATGAGTTTTTGGCACATCAATGGTTTATTTTTTAAAATATTTAAAAAGTGACTTGTGCAAAATTAATCTCAGAATAGTATAAATCAACATTAAGAGATATAGGAGGATATCAAAAAGACAAAACAGACCCATCTTCACATGTTTCTTTTTTAAATGCCTTGGGATGGCTTTAAGGAGGGGCATTAAAATGAGTGTCTAATCCAACATATGGATACACAGATCTGATCATAGAAGAGCACTGTGTACGCTTGTGTAACTTATCCAGACTTCATGGCGACCTTTTGGTGGGTACTACAGGTGTTGTTTTCTCTCTCTCTAGAAGATTAAGATAGCGGCTCTGCGCATGTACACTTGCTGTGTGGAGAGAACTGACTACGAGGAATTCTTTCACAGTAAGTTATTGGTCTCTAGGATGCTAGAGCCTGGAGTGTGCCCCAGATGAGGTCGGGGCTGGCTAGAACCTGGGCTACCCAGTGCCTGTGACAGGTTGGTCTGGCTGGAAACCAAACGCATTCCCCCGTGTAGTGGGTGCAGGGCTGAATAGAACTTGGGCGTATTGTGCCTCTCCCCTAACTGTCCTGCCATAACAGAGGTACTCCATGCCCCCCCATGAGGCTGGGTCAGACTATAGAAACTGAATTTGCTGCTACTATCTCATTCTCCCTACACCTTCTGCACTGTGGGGAGAGATGGTTAGAATTCCAAGATGTGGCCAGACAGAACCCAGAGTGATCCACCCATGAGGGCTGTCTACAACCTGAAGATGTCCCTCCCCTGTGGCCAAGGTAGGGCAGGCTAGAATCTATATTCCCTGCCTTTCCATATTTGTGTTATAGCTGGCTGGCTACAGCATGACCCTGGCACTCTACCCATTCCAGCCCTGTGTCATCATAGAATATCAGGGTTGGAAAGGACCTCAGGAGGTCATCTAGTCGTCCCCCCTGCTCAAAGCAGGACCAATCCCCAGACAGATTTTTGCCCCAGATCCCTAAATGGCCCCCTCAAGGATTGAACTCACAACCCTGGGTTTAGCAGTCCAATGCTCAAACCACAGAGCTATCCCTCTGCCTAGGGCCATCTGGAGCCTGAATGCACCCCCACACCCACCCCCTGACCTCTTGTCAAGGGCAGGGCCACCTAGAACCCAGAGAGACAGTCCTCTCCTTTCCACATTTCAGGAGCATGGCTGGCTAGAACATCCTACCCTCCCATACCCTGTCTTGGCACATAGGTTTAGAACTGGGACAAGCCCCTGGATAGAGGGGAAGGTCTTACTAGAACCGGAATACCCTTTTCCCTTGATGTATGGGAGTGGCTTGGACTGGGATGACCGTTCTCCACTGTTGTGGGGGTGGGACAGCTAGATCCTGGAGACACAACTCCCTTTCTCCAGCCGCACAACAGGGCTGGCTGTTTGTCAGTGTGGGAAGCATGGTATTTTTTTCATGCTTATTTGAATTGTCGAAAAACCTGATGGGAATTGCATATGGGTTTCCTAAGAACTAAGATTCACCATTAGCTCTGAAAACTTGGGACCTTTTCCTTTATGCACAAACATTCTTTTGGCTAAATTCTCTTTAGTTTTGGTATTTTATATGTGCTCATGACAAGGGTTTTCCTTTAAATTTTTAATTGGGTCTCTGGCTCTATTTAGCAGAACATTTACTTAGAAAATTTTTACGGTGATGATAGTGGGTAAAATTTAGAAAAAATTCAACACTTACTAATATTAATATTAGTAAGTGAAGACCTCTGTACCTTTCATCACAATGTAATTTTGACAGGTTTCCATGCCCTCTTCTGTGTCCTGCTCCGGTCTCATTTTTGAACAGGTACACTTTTAGCATGGCAGCCATTTTGAATTTAATTTTAAGTGGGGAGCATTAGGACAAATGTATAAATAGTGTTTGTGCGGGGTTTTTTTTACGTTAAGGTCATTTTAAGGTATTTTTAAATAGGCTACAGCATAAATAAGCATTAAGCCCTTTTAAAATAATTTACAAAACAGAGGATTATCAGAAAGTAAGAGTTAGTTACATGGACAGGAAAAAAGGCAGAAAGAGAAAATAAAGGGGATTAAACAAGACAAAATGAGAGAAATTTAAAACAGCAAGATAGGAAAAAAAGGCAAAAAAATAGAGAGAGAATTACGTGAAATATTACAAAGTGAGAGAGTTTTAAAACCGCAAAAAAGGAAAAAAAGCCTCCTAGCCTGTTACAAGTCAGATGGCAGAAAGAGAGAAAATAAAGCAGAGTAAACAAGACGCAAAGTGTTAGAGGGTTTTAAAATAGCAAGTAAGGAAAAAAGCCTCTCACTGTTCGAATAGAAGAGAGAGAAATTAAAGTGGATTCACAGAGAGAGCAAGCTTTAAAATAGAAATAGAAAAGCATCTGACCCCAATGGCTGTCACTAGTTAAATACCAGCAATTCCGGGACAATCAGCCTTGGATAAGCCACACTTCTTGGCTGAGCCAATCAGAAGATATTCTTTAGACACATCATAGAATAATAAATAATTCATTTTCCTGAACCAGTGAGAAGTTTGTCTAAAGCCATTGCCTTTTAGGGATATGTGCTAGGAGTCTTGATTTTCCTAACTCACTATGAATGCAGCAGTTTTTTTAGCAAGGATGTATCATAGCTGAAGCAATATGCCCCTTCCTGCAATGAAAGAACTTTTTAAATTCTAGAATTAGAACTGAAACGTCATACCCCTATTAGAGAGATTTCAGTAATATTTTCTTTTAAAAAAAGAATGAGATGAAAAATGCAGATTTTTGTGTTAGGGATATTGTGTAGAAAGACCCCAGACTTTTTAAAAAATTGTGCTTTTAAAAGTTTGCCTAAATGAATTGCCCACTGTGCAAAAGCAACCCCAACCAAAAACTGTTTCAAAGACTTATTACTGTATATAAAACACACAGTCTAATTTGAGAGGCTAGTTTAAATAGGGTGACCAGATAGCAAGTGTGAAAAATCAGGACGGGTTGGGGGGTAATAGATGCCTGTATAAAACAAAATCCCAAATATCGGGACTGTCCCTATAAAATCAGGACATCTGGTCATCCTAAGTTTAAATGAATTTGTGCAAGTTGCTAACCCTTTACCAGAGATAAGAATGCTATTTCTTCCTGACTTTAAAAAAAAAAAAAAATGTAAATTCTGTTAAACATAATCACGCCAAGTACAGTTTTACAAATAAACTTTTAAAAGATTAGCATAAAAAACAGGGCATTAATAAGTGCTTTGTAGCACATACTTCTAAAAGTAATGGGAAAAAACGACATTGTTAAATGTAAGTGAAGCAGCTTTATAGATGTCTCACACACACATTTTTAAAGGTAAAATAACCAAAATCCATGTCTTAAGGATATTTGAAGAGGGGTAGTGACATAAAAATGTTTTACACAGGCTTATCGTTTGTATATACTTGAGAAACCCTTTGTGAGGGCTACTTTTTCCTTTTGCTAAAGAATTGTGTAACTTCAATAAGGGGGTGTTGTGGAATATCTGACGAAATGTCCCTCCTTTCTGCTAAAAAACTAACAATTGTAAAAAGAGTATTTTTAATAATTTCTGTAATATCAGTTTACAGCAGAGGTGGGCAAACTATGGCCCGCAGGACCCTCCTGGGCTGGGAGGCTAGCCCCAGGCCCCTCCCCCGCAGCCTCAGCTCACTGCGCCACTGGTTCAATGCTCTGGGCGGCAGGGCTGCGAGCTCCTGGGGCAGCGCAGCTGCAGAGTCAGGCCTCACCCAGTGCTCTGTGCTGCACGGTGGCGTGGCTGGCTCCAGCTGGGCTGCGCGGCTGTAGTGCCGCCAGCCACCAGTGCTCCAGGCAGCGCAGTAAGGGGGCAGGGAGCGGGGAGGTTGGATAGAGGGCAGGGGAGTTTGGGGGTGGTGGTCGGGGGCAGGGGTGTGGATAAGGGTCTGGGCAGGAAATGGGGGGTTGAATGGGGGGTGAAAGGGTCCTGGGGGGGCAGTCAGGAAGGAGGGGAGGTTGGATGGGGTGGCGGGGGGCAGGAGGTCCGGGGGAGGTTGTCGGGGGGTGAGAAACAGGGGATGAAAGGGGGCCACACCTGGCTGTTTGGGGAGGCATAGCCTCCCCTAACTGGCCCTCCATACAATTTCCGAAACCCAATGCAGCCCTCAGGCCAAAAAGTTTGCCCGCCCCTGGTTTACAGGATATTTGTAAAATGAAGGTTTTTGGGGGTAGTATAATAGCACTTACATTTGCAGATAAAATATAAAAGTTTTTTAAAAAGACAAGCTATAGCTTTGTAACTGCATAAAGGAGGGAGATAAGGACTATTCCTATCTTAAAAAACATATCCCCTCCTCCTTTTGTCTAAAACAACTGTCTTTTGCAGCAAATTTTTTTTAATCACAGGATTAAAATTAAATACAATGAGAATTGAAATCAAGTGTTAGTATAGATTTGAATGACAAATTTTAAAAAGACTTGACTGGTTCATTGCATTTGTGTTCATTAATTCTGCACTGGATCCCAGTATTACACTATGTCCAGCAAGGAAATGCATCAAGTTTTTCACCTTGTTTGTGGCTTTCTAGCAAGACCAGTGTGGCTGGATATTTGCCTTTTCAGGGCAATGCAGATCACAGTCAAAGTAAATTTACAGCTTCTTAGGATCTAGTTACAATTTCTGTCAGTTTTCACCACACAGAACCATTAACTACTTATTTAACTTCGAGTACCTATTTATCACATCATTTGTTGTGGTTTGAGTTTTAATTCTGTAAGAGAACTGACTCAGGAAAGTTTGAGAGATAAAAATAATGCAAAACTAAGTGTGCAACAGCCCCTGTTCTTCTATTCCCTTAAACAGAAATTCCTCCTTATTTAGTGAGGAAGACCAATGGACTTTTGAAGTGCTAGCCCTAAACTATTGGCTAAGAAGGTTTTGTGTAAGTATTGTATATAAAAGGATAAGAACAGACCTGTTGATTAAAGATGGAAGCGCCTTGAAGCATGCCTCACAAACACCATCAGTCAAGCAGTTCATGAAGAGACCTTGTATGAGCGTAGTTGAAGGACTTGAACACACATCCCAGTGACACAAATGATGTTTGAGACATGGCATGGGAGTAAAGCAACAGAGATAGCTGCTGCTGAACAATGTGGGCACACGGACAATGTGGAGAAGCATGAGGCAAGACCACTGATCCAAGTTTTGTTTGAGACTCTGGACCCCAGACAGGAAACCCCAGGAGATTCAAATAGTGGGTTGTACAGAGATGAGTCATAGGTATGCTGCATGTAAGAATGGTTAGGTGCTTGGAGGGGACCTGGCCACGGTAGCTTAGTTGGCTAGAGCCTTTTGGATTGAGACCATACAGAGGCAATGTTATTTGAAACTGCAAACTGAAGAGGT